TTATCAGTCAAAGGTCATTATTTGAATTATGCGCCGTCCGCTCCGCGATATGAATGCAGATCAAGTCCAGATAGACGGTAATCGCAATGTTGTTTCTGGTTGCCATCCAAAGGCTCCTCGAACTTCATCTTTGCCCTGAAAACAAAGGATACATAAGACAACAGTGCATAGAAATAAACTGTAAATTATACTTGAATATAATCCATGTGAGAGACGTTAGATTCAAAGAGATTGGAATGGCGAGAGCGAGGTGGGTAATTCAATGTCGATAATTGCCAAAGCAGAAAAAGATATTCAGTGGGGTTTATAGAGGTAAATATAATGTTCGTAAATCAAGACAAAATTCAAACTGGCCATTTTGTTGTATGATTATTTTTTTTTTGAAGCACTGCTTCATAGCAGAACACAACAAATGACATTTCAAATGATGGACTACAACAATCTTTCCCAGCGGACAGGCATTCTGGACAGGTGGCAAGCCAAAAATTCATTGGGGCTTACAAATAACACCCCAAAATTTGAATAATTCAAGCAGGAGTACCGGGAAATCAGAATTTATAAGTGAAGCTAGCAGGCCGGAGGGTCCAAATATCGTGACCAGGACCTACGAAACTGAATTCCAGGTATTCAAAAGAATCCAAAACGTGCCCCCGTAACAAAAACAAAAGCTCAAAAATATCAGAAAGATTGCCATTACAAAGTTTGGCATAACATTACGACTTTCAAATGTAAATAGTGATACGGCTAGCTTCAACGGAAGGCGGGAAGGGGGCTGCCGATTTGTACTCGTGGTTATGTCGCTCGCGATTTGGCCGTACAGGGAAAAAATAAGGCACAAACCATTCAAATTAATAGGCAATAACGTTAAGTTCTAGTTTCGAGATACATACCACACCAAATCACCCAATTTGAACGCCTCCGGCATCGTTAACTCAGAACTTCACACGACCGCGGTCTGACTGATGTTTGTTGTAGTCGTCGGAAAGCGAAATGGCGTCCTTTTCTGGCTGGTCCGCTTGACTCTGAAGGCGTTACCGACTTCGCGCAAGGCGGCGACGCTACTATCGTCAGCTTGACTTTGAGATGTAACTTTCTAATAATTGAGTTTTTATTCAGAATCTTGATTTCAGTTCAAAGATTATTGAGTTATTTGAAAAATACGCTTAAACTTTACATAAGAATAGATTTTTCGTACATGTTTGAACAGGGTTAACCGGCCATGACTACGTGGCTCAAACCAGCTGTTGAATGAATTAACAACTGACATCAATACAAATACCCTGCCAAGATTTATTTGCCTGCTGCCCTCGCACTCATTGCTGCTGTGGTGTGTATCAACCAGTTGAGAGTTGATCTTTACTCTTCACATTCAAAATATGGCGTGTAACGTCAGTCTTACGTCAAAGCTTTGTAAGTAATTTCTCTAGAATTCTTTTTCATCACACGATAATTTTGTTTGGTGTACAAAGTTAACAAAATCTATAGTTGATTTCATACGTCTGCAAGGATTTTCGAGTGTTAGTATTGGCATAAGCACTGTATTAGACTTCGACCTTTGTACCGACATTACAGCCAAGATGTCAGAAAACCACCCCTTTCCCCAATGGCATTAGTATACACTATTACATGGGGGTGTCTAAATAGGCCAACAGTTTGCTACCTCTAACTGATGTTTTGTTCACAGTTGTTTACATTGTCTCTCTGATATGATTTATTGTTTGGTGTTAGCACTGCCATCAATAACACTAGCCATATCAATTGTTACGTTAACTGAAACAACTTTTTTTTTGTCTCTACTTCTTGTTTGTTGATTATGTAATGCTCTTTAGCTCTCCGGTCGAAGGGGGCAAAGGGCTTTTCCCTTGCCTGTTGTTTATTCACTGCCTCTGAGTCACTGCCTCCTGTCCAGTATTGTGTTAATTTTGATATGGTTTCTTTGAATTTCAGTCCAGAGGATTGTGTCTCTTTCTCAGAGACAGTACTCCTCACAGGTATTCCCTAAAATTACTACCCATTACACGGTTCACCCTCGTGAATCAGATCCACGATGGAAGGGTAAGTATTAGGTGACTTTCTTTGGTTGTCAAGTAGTTATATCATAAAGGACATGTTGTTAAATCTCTCTTTTCCTGACAGATATCGACATGGAGCGAGCTGTGGACGAAACAGATGTTGTCATTATTGGAGGTGGTCCTGCTGGAATGTCAGCTGCCATCCGTCTTCGCCAACTTGCTGAAAAAGAGGGAAAAGAGTTGAGAGTGGTTGTTGTAGAAAAGGCTTCTGAAATAGGTATGGTGCTTTAGTCAATAACAGACAACATCTCCCCATCCTGTGTCTCCTCTAACCTGTGTTGTTTGCTTCAGGTGGCCATATTTTGTCTGGAGCTTGTGTTGATCCAAAAGCCCTTAACGAGTTGATACCAGACTGGAAGGAGAAGGGAGCTCCACTAAACACACCTGTCACGAAGGATCGATTTGTTTACCTTACCGAGAAAGGCAGCATTCCCCTTCCAGTCTTTCCAGGTAATTTTTGTAATACCATGACATTGAAAGTACTACAGAACAAGTATAACTCTTTATTTTCTGATAAAGATAATATCTAATAAATGGATGATTTTTGCCAGGGATGCCTATGTATAACCATGGAAACTACGTAGTACGATTAGGACATGTTGTACAGTGGCTTGGAGAACAAGCTGAGGCTGCAGGAGTAGAGGTGTTCTCTGGCATTGCAGCATCAGAAGTGCTTTATAATGAAGATGGAAGTGTGAAGGGCATTGCTACTGGTGATGTTGGAATAGCCAAGGATGGATCTCCAAAGGTGTGGCATTTTCACAATTGTTCAGTTGTAGCATTCACATATATATCTTGATGAACATTTGCATCTACCATAAGTTAACATGTGACATTTTGCACAGCAAAAGTCCTGTCCAAAAGTTTCTATTTTGCATGGTAGAAAGAAAATGGTCATATTCTTATCTGCTGTTTTTTCTGAAAATATGGTTGGATGTATTATAAATACCAAGTAGTTCAATCCAGACATAGGTATATTAATTTATAACTGCTGAGAATTCTGTCCATAAATTTAAAAAATGATAACACTTACCATTTACAAAGAACTGATACACATCTAAACTCCGACTCTCGGGACTGCTTGTATTTCCTCCCATAAGGAGAGCAAGGCTCATTAGAAGAATTATAATGAGTGTCATGATCTTTTCTTGTAGTAATTATCCAATTTATTCTGTTCTTTCTAAATGATATTAGTATTTTAGTTTACATATTATCAGTCATCTTAAAGTCTGTTAATTAGAATCATGTGGAGCATACCTGTGGTCGTCTGCTGCGTGGAACAGTAACTGCTGCACAGTGTGCTGTGCTGCTCAGCTGTGTCTTTTAAAGCTTGCCTTTGAGGGCAACGCTAATCAGATGATCTTTATGTCTTTTTAAATAGCACTTCAACCCTGTCATGCAGAATGGTTGTAACCCTCAGAAATTTATGACCGTTTTGATAAGAGACTTTAGAGCTCAGACTGTTAACCTTGTGTTTTCTAAAATATCTCGCATTTTAGATGAGATTTTAAAGTTGTATTTTCTAGGCCTAGGCAGCTTCTTTGTAAATATCATTTTACTTCCCTTTTTTTCCAGGAACAATTTGAGCGGGGAATGGAGCTTCATGCCAAGTGCACTATATTTGCTGAAGGTTGTCATGGACATTTAACTAAACAACTTTCAAAGAAGTTGAACCTAAGAGAACACTGTGAAACTCAAACTTATGGAATTGGTATTAAGGAGGTGTGGGAAATTCCTGCAGAAAAACATCAGCCTGGACTTGTGGAGCATAGTATTGGTTGGCCTCTGGTATGGATTACAATCAAGATCGTTTACAATTAATTTTGTGAGGAGCTCACCTACAGAATTATTTAACTTTGCAGGACAAATTCACATATGGAGGGTCATTCCTTTATCATTTAAACGAACCTACACCCACTATTGCTATTGGCTTTGTTATTGGTTTGGATTACCAAAACCCATACTTGAGTCCATTTAAGGAGTTTCAGAGGTTCAAGCACCACCCTTCTATTGCCAAGCATCTCCAGGGTGGCAAAAGGTACCCTTCAGCATAATATGAACAGTGCTCTTTTATCACATAGTGAACATTGTCTTTAGGGTTTCTTCACTTTCCCCCTCAGGATTGCCTACGGTGCTAGAGCTTTGAATGAAGGTGGGTACCAGAGTATACCAAAGCTCTCATTCCCTGGTGGTTGTCTCATTGGGTGCACTGCGGGGTTCCTTAACGTACCGAAGATAAAGGGTGTGCATTATGCCATGAAGAGTGCGATGCTGGCTGCAGAGGGTATCTTTGAAAACCTTCAAGAGTCTGCAGATGCTTCTTGTATGTACTCTTAATCTTTTCCTATGCTGTATTTTGATATTAGTTGTATTTGATGCTTGATATATTTTTATCGTTGTGCTTTGAACTTTCCAGGTATATATCCAAAGTCTTATGAGGAGAAACTGAAGAGCAGTTGGGTCTACTCAGAACTTAAAGCAGTTCGTAATATTCGACCTGCCTTCCACAACCCACTAGGACTATATGGCGGTGTAGCTTATGGTGCTTTTGCTACTCTAACCAAAGGATTTGAACCCTGGACCTTTTCACATGGCGGTAATTTTTTGAACATTTATTTCCCACAAAAGACTAACCTGTGTGTCTAGTTAAACGTAATAATGTCTCTCAAATTTGTTGTATCAGACCCTGATTCCAAACGCCTGAAACCAGCTAAAGAGTGTAAGCCCATTGACTATCCCAAGCCTGATGGAGTCCTCAGCTTTGACTTGCTTTCTTCTGTGGCCCTTACTGGTACCAATCATGAAGGGGACCAACCTGCCCACCTGACTCTGATGGATGATACTATTCCTGTCAAGAACAATCTAGGAGTTTATGATGGACCAGAAGGCCGCTTTTGCCCAGCAGGTATGCACCTCTTGTTGCATGTACTTCTGCAGATTTTTAGTCACAACTTGATGCTTAGCATATGAATGTGCTCAAGAGAAAGTGTATGACACCTTTTTGTTTAAATTTTAGGTGTCTATGAGTATGTTCCTTTGGAAAGTGGAGATGGCCAACGATTACAAATCAATGCTCAAAATTGCATACACTGCAAAACCTGTGATATCAAGGACCCAAGCCAAAATATCAACTGGGTTGTTCCGGAAGGTAGTGGTGGTCCTGCTTACAATGGCATGTAAATTAAGTACTGCCACTATAAGGTAAATTTTATTTTTAATGCCTCTTCTGTTTAAAGTTGTCTGAAAGTTTGGCTGTGCCCTTAAATGGGACTGTGCACTTTGAGATTGTGACCAGTAATTTGTGTCTTCCAAGTCATTGTGTAAAATGTGAGACATGTATTTAGAAGTATTTTATATTTTATTGATGTGCGAAACTTTTTGTATACATGTTTTTCTTTGGACTTTGTAAATCACTTAATTGAATGTCAAGAGTCATGAAAACGGATGTTTAAAATGTTGTATTCATCACATGCTGTTATTTATACGCTTGTTATTTTATTTTATGTTGTTTTTAGTTCATTGTTGGTTTTCTATGTAATTTGTCCCTGTTTATGCAACGTACCTGTTCAGCCTGCATCCAAGGTTGTTTGTTTTGTAATGCAATACTGTGCAGTGATTTGAGATTATATTTGTGGCTTGAGTTCTAAAACCACAATCTACTCAACCATGTAAAATCAAACAACTTAACTGTAAGATCTTGCTATGAATTCTTGTGGAATTGTTAAGTCCATCATTTTTGCTTGATTAGTTTAGATGTTTTTTACTTTTGATTTTTGAACCAACTGAAGTTGTCATATGTCTGTCAATCCATCTTATATTTTGTTGTACTTCAAAATAATTTGCAAATTTTTATGCACCAACTAAGACCCTATTTGATATACCATGCACATTTCATAGACTGATGTTATTTACTAAATGTTTCTGTATCAAAATGAGATATAAATTAAAGATTTTATTTTACAAAAGAAATCAGATTTATTTTCTAATTCTATGGTTAATTATCATTCAAAAAATCAAACTTCTGACCTGTCTTACAGTATGTACAATTTGAAGTTAAGTTACTTTATTGATGAGATTAAGAGTTGAGCAATGAGTTGCAGGTAGAAATTCATTTCTCAGTCATTTCTCTTCCAGTGTTCTGAATAACTGTCATCATTGTCAAACAAGAAGCGAGCGCCAATAGCTTTATATCGAGCAAGGACCATTCTGAAAATATTTAAAAAGACAGTTATAGGACTTCCAACTTAATTGTCATTTAAACATGAACTGTGACTAGAGATCCAAAGGCTACAATTTCCAATGGAGGACTTACAAGTCTGGAAGTGCAATTCCATAATTGGTGATGGAGTACAAGTTGTCGTACTGGAGCTCGGTGGTGCTGGCGTTGACAGGATGCACGCTCGCCGCGTTGACAAGCGTTATCCGAGGTGGCAGCAGAGATCGGTGAACCTTGGCGGTGCCCGTCAATCTCATCCTGTCGACTGTCGTCGAACCCTCAAATTTGGCGTCCTCCCCAGGAGACAAGGTCTTGATCATGTTGTAAGGAGCCCAGTACAGACGGAGAAGAGGGCCGGTTCTAGGCCACACAGTGAGGTTCAAACGGTGAGCGGAGAAGGGATGTAGGCAGTGCCCCACACAGTAATTGCAGCTAACACTTACTCTGTGAACCTCAGCTCTGACAACTTGTGGCTATCGTCAGCGAGAAATAGATGAACCCCTACAACAAGTAAGTG